AGTGACTGACTGTAGCCTTCTTTGCTGCAGCTGGCCCCTGAAAACACCATAATGTCATTTAGCAGAGCCCTGCAGCATGGAGCTAGCTCTCTGGAAGCAGATGTCACCATCAGGTAATTAATCACCATTTATTTATATTTATGGTTTGATTCTCCACATATAAATTATTGCTGCCATGTGGGTTAGTAGAGTTTGATTGAAAAAATGCAGTAAATTTTAAGCAAATTCTGCTTCATATATTTATTTTATGTTTAGCTGAAGACAAAGCAAAGTCTTTTTTACATCCTGTAGTGTGGATGGAGTTCCTTTCCTCATCAGGGACCATACTTTAAGTCGGACTACAGACGTCGGTAAAGTCTTCCCCTCCAGAGAGCACGAAGATGCCTCCTTCTTTAACTGGACAGAGATTCACTCTTTAAATGCAGGGCATTGGTTTTTGGAGGTACTGCATACCCTAAATGTGTCAGAACCGCTGAAATATAAATGTTGGCATTAAGTTGCAGTCATACATCTAATGAAGCAAGGAGTTTATGCAACAAACTAATCTCAGCTTCTCAGTTGTATTTTATTTTATTTTTTTATCCTCCAGAGCGACCCCTACTGGACAGTAAAAACCTTGAGCACGAAGGATCGCACCAGGATAGCAAACCTGACAATTTGCAGCTTGGTAGATATGCTACGTCTAGCAGCCAGAGCCAACTGCTCGGTGTTGCTCAACATCCGCAAGCCTGCACCAGATCACCCCCGCTTCCGCAGCTGGTTTATGGACACACTGTGGACTCTGCAAAAAGCAGGGATTTCCCAGAAAAAGGTGACATTGAATATACAAATCTTCTGGTTTTGAGCTTTTTACATTTTTAACCTGTCAATCTGAAAAAAAATTAAAATCCCATGTCCTAATACTTTGCAAAAATTGAGACTCAGGCTTTAGTTACACTTTTACTCTGACTATCCAACATTATTCTCTGGCAAAAGTCTCAGGAACAACCTTTTTGTTGTGTAATCAGAGGCAAAAGTAAGACAATAAAATGGCCAATGACCTGAATTTGTTGAGTGCTTTATCAGGTCTGAGGACCTCACACTACGATCAGTCATTCACTTTGTAGACTGAAGATGGGAAACTACACTCCAGCACTGAGACAGACAAAGCTGGATTTAAAACCGACAACCAGTTTGTCCTGCTACTCGTTAGTGGAGAAGCTCTTACCTGCCAAGGTAATTTCAACCAGTGGCTTATAAATCAATCAATCAATCAATCAATCAATCAAGTTCTTTATTGTCAACTACAATTTGCATTGTAATCAAGATTTCAGTTTGAGTACAAACTGTTAATCACTTACATCACAAAAAACACCTCTGTACAAAAAAAGCCCATATAACATGAGACAAACATTTCAGCAAAAGAAAAACACTGGAGGCTGGAGCCACATAAAAGTGAATCTGACATCTTGAGCGTAATTTTGTGTATGCATGATGAATGCATTCTATTTATCCATGAACGCGGTCCTCAGGCCATTGACCTTGATAAGATGGAAGGGTAGATGGGGGAGCCAGCAGTTCTGGGCCCTTCC